CCTACAAGTTCCTGGGCTCCACTATCTCCCAGGACCTTAAGTGGACAGCCAACATCAGGACCATCATCAAGAAGGTACAGCAGAGGATGTACTTTCTGTGCCAGCTCAGGAAGTTCAACCTGCCCCAGGAGCTGCTGATATAGTTCTACAGAGGAATCATCGAGTCTGTTCTCTGCACCTCCATCACTGTCTAGTTTGGCTCAGCAACCAAACAGGACAAGCACAGACTTCAGCAGACAGTCAGGACTGTAGAAAAGGTCATTGGTGTGAGCCTGCCCTCCATGGAGGACCTGTACACCTCACGGATCAAAAGGAGGGCAGAGAGGATCACTGCAGACCCCTCACACCCCAGACACAATCTGTTTGAACTCCCCCCCTCTGGATGGCGTTACAGGTCACTGTGCATAAAGAAAACCAGGCACAAGGACAGTTTCTTCCCCAAGACTGTCACTCTGATAAACACTTAACCCACGACAGTATGATGAGACAATGACCCTCAGTGCAATGCCTGTAAATATACATTGTATATACTGTACATTGTACAGATTATACAGATCCATACAGGTCTCTATTTTTTAAGCACTCTATTTTTATTACTATTTATCTCATTTCAATGAGCATTCCTTTGTCTGTCTGCATTGTTTACTGCCTGCATTGTTTACTGCCTGTTAATACTCCTTATTTTGTTATATTACACAGCATTACGTTGGTTTACTTGCCCCTTGCATGGGGGTATGTACATGCACATTGAGAGCCGATGTACCAGAGTCAAATTCCTTGTGTGTCCCACACACCTGGCCAATAAAGCCGATTCTTCTAATGCAAGGTAGGCCAACTGGGACGTGGCATCAAAACTTTGGCTCTCTAAAATAAACACACCATGTTATATCAAGAAAATACACCTACCACTGAATAATGAATTTATTCACAATTTCAACACTCGGTTTCATTAATGACAAATGGATGAACTATTTTTGAGTGTTATGTGCAAGACTGTGTAATTACAACAAGCAAAAACACTGAAACAGCATTCATCAAGGTTTTAAGACACAGTATTAAAGGTTTTAGACTAAAGTACATTTATACAGTCCCCAGTGAATCATGACTAAGACTATGAACAGTTATGCAAATAAGGTGCCCCACAAATGTGGCTGTCTGTACTAGCAAGCTGAAGTTTCTAGCAGTTTCTCTTGGTGTGGATAAGAAGGTCTCTCTGCAGGCTGACTTCTAGGCTCCCAACAGTTTTGCTAGCAGGTGGGTCAGTGACCAGAGTCAGTTTGTTAAACACTCCTCGACCAAAATAGTCGGCCACCACCGAGAAACCATCGTTAGCGATGCGCAACTGAAAACCACAGAAAAGACAAGAATTTGTTGTATAATTAAACATTCCTGCAGATTTGCACAGGTGCAACTACACAAGTCAGCCGGTAAACTGCAATTAAAGTATAATTTCATTTCCCAAGGTTTAGTAAGGCAGACTGTTAGATTAAAACAGGCATAAATGAATGGAAGCGAATAATTCAACATACACCTTGTATCATTTTTGGTCAACATTCCTCCAGTGAAAGTGGATGTACTGTTACCTGTCTGTCAAAGTGGTCATGCAGGTCACGTTTCTGGTCCTGAGCACGCAACATATCCATGACTTTGCGGTTCTCTGGAGTGCATGTTGGGCACTCCGCCTCACTCTCAGCATAGCTTTCGAAGCAGTGTTGGTGGAAGGAGTGGCTACACAGGAAATGAACAGACGGCAAGTCCAGGGGGCTGTTGCACATGTTACACTTGGTCTTCTGGAATATCTTGGCACTGGGTGGAAATATTTCAGTAAAGATTGGCATTAGGCAATCTATGGCTTCTGTAGGTCACATCAGCGCAAATTGTTTGCCAGTACTCCCACACAGTTACAGTGACTGTAGCTGACAGAAGTTAGTCATTAAAAAAAAAAAATGGAGGATGACATTACTGCAGTAAGAAACCATTAGAACCGCTGGTGTTAATTAAAAAAGGCTTGGGAATGATAAATACACCCCTCAAATGTTCAAAAGAACAATCCTCACACACCTCATATTTTATGTTATCTACCTTGTTTTCAACTCCTGGATCTCAGAGCGGAGGTGAGCAGTTTCTTCACGGTACTGGCGGATTTTGCGTTCATCATCCTCTATCTGCTGGCTCTCCCTCTGCAGCTTGTTGATGAGGTAATCCTTGATGACGGAGAGAGTGGCTGTCGAGTTATGTGCCAGCGTCTGCACCACTGTGGCCACAGAAATATCAAATGAAATGTACCAGCTTCTTTTCAAACATCATACTGATGCTGAGAGATCTCAGTGTTCTCGTCTTTGCCTGAACTGATTCTAATGACATCAGTGTTTCCCATACAGCGATTTATTTTTGGCGGGTACAATATCAACATTGACCACCACATATTGATTTAAGATAGGTTAAATCTTATTTCGTGACCCCGTTCAGGGACAAGCAGTAGAAATGAATAAATCTTATTTCAGTGTAGTGCCATGTGTAGCACATGTATTCGCTCAGTCCCTCTGTGCCCTGCTCCGTTTCTCCCTGTTAACCAT